GGTTCTTACGAAGCCACTCCTTCGTTGCCCGGGCGGTGTGTTTGGGATCATTGTCATACTGAAAGACCCAGCCATGTTTCATCTTCAATGCCCTTGCTGATGGAAGGAGGTTTTCACAAAAAAATCTCACGATACATGGCCCCATTCATTCTTTCCTTTACACGGATCAGTCGTCCTGGTCCCTTTGCAGAAAAACAGCCCCAAAGCATGATGTTTCCACCCCCATGCTTCACAGTAGGTATGGTGTTCTTTGGATGCAACTCAGCATTCTTTGTCCTCCAAACACGACGAGTTGAGTTTTTACCAAAAAGTTCTATTTTGGTTTCATCTGACCATATGACATTCTCCCAATCCTCTTCTGGATCATCCAAATGCACTCTAGCAAACTTCAGATGGGCCTGGACATGTACTGGCTTAAGCAGGGGGACACGTCTGTCACTGCAGGATTTGAGTCCCTGGCGGCGTAGTGTGTTACTGATGGTAGGCTTTGTTACTTTGTTCCCAGCTCTCTGCAGGTCATTCACTAGGTCCCCCCGTGTGGTTTTGGGATTTTTGCTCACCATTCTTGTGATCATTTTGACCCCACGGGGTGAGATCTTGCGTGGAGCCCCAGATCGAGGGACATTATCAGTGGTCTTGTATGTCTTCCATTTCCTAATAATTGCTCCCACAGTTGATTTCTTCAAACCAAGCTGCTTACCTATTGCAGATTCAGTCTTCCCAGCCTGGTGCAGGTCTACAATTTTGTTTCTGGTGTCCTTTGACAGCTCTTTGGTCTTGGCCATAGTGAAGTTTGGAGTGTGACTGTTTGAGGTTGTGGACAGGTGTCTTTTATACTGATAACATGTTCAAACAGGTGCCATTAATTCCGGTAACGAGTGGAGGACAGAGGAGCATCTTAAAGAAGAAGATACAGGTCTGTGAGAGCCAGAAATCTTGCTTGTTTGTAGGTGACCAAATACTTATTTTCCACCATAATTTGCAAATAAATTCATTAAAAATCCTACAATGTGATTTTCTGGATTTTTTTTCTCAGTTTGTCTGTCATAGTTGACGTGTACCTATGATGAAAATTACAGGCCTCTCTCATCTTTTTAAGTGGGAGAACTTGCACAATTGGTGGCTGACTAAATACTTTTTTTCCCCACTGTATATGCACCAAATGTTCATATTCGAACGGTACATGCAACACATTTTTGTATTCGATTTTGCTCTCTAGCTAAGGACATGCATATCCACAAATGTTATAAATAAATCCGACAGAGTACTGGTGAATCAAAGAAAAGACAGCATGAAGGTGCTAATATTACCAGTGGATGATTGTAAAACTAAGAACCTTCTGGAGTTCCATTTCAAATGGAATCATATTCAAGAGAGGCGATTCTATTGCTATAAACACTTGCATAAGTCCATGTAACAGCTCCGCCATTGACGGTAGTGAAGTGACAATGAAATGGGGACAAAGCAATTCCATTGAAACCCTCAAAAAAGAAGATTGAATAGTTACAACAATTACTCTCAGCTCTCATTGTTTTTGGTTGCCTCGTTGCAGTGACCGTACGTACATACCCCAACCAGAAGCCATGGATTACAGGCAACATCCGCACTGAGCTAAAGAGTAGAGCTGCCGCTTTCAAGGAACGGGACTCTAACCTGGACGCTTATAAGAAATCCTGTTATGTCAATACAGGACTAAGATTGAATCGTACTGCCCAGTGACACAAGCCAACCAGACGAGCTAAATCACTTCTATGCTCGCTTCGAGGCAAGCAACTCTGTTCCGGATGACTATGTGATCACGCTCTCCGTAGCCGATGTGAGTAAGACTTTTAAGCAGGTCAACATTAACAAGGCCGCAGGGCCAGACGGATTACCAGGACGTGTACTCCGAGCATGCGCTGACCAACTGGCAAGTGTCTTCACTGACATTTTCAACATGTCCCTGACTGAGTCTGTAATACCAAGATGTTTCAAGCAGACCACCATAGTCCCTGTGCCCAAGAACACTAAGATAACCTGCCTAAATGACTACCGACCCGTAGCACTCACGTCTGTAGCCATTAAGTGCTTTGAAAGGCTGGTCATGGCTCACATCAATACCATTATCCCAGAAACCCTAGACCCACTCCAATTTGCATACCGCCCCAACAGATCCACAGATGATGCAATCTCTATTGCACTCCACACTGCCTTTTCCCACCTGGACAAGAGGAACACCTACGTGAGAATGCTATTCATTGAATACAGCTCAGCGTTCAACACCATAGTGCCCTCAAAGCTCATCACTAAGCTAAGGACCCTGGGACTAAACACCTCCCTCTGCAACTGGATCCTGGACTTCCTGACAGGCTGCCCCCAGGTGGTAAGGGTAGGTAACAACACATCTGCCACGCTGATCCTCAACACGGGGGCCCCTCAGGGGTGCGTGCTCAGTCCCCTCCTGTACTCCCTGTTCACCCATGACTGCAAGGCCAGGCACGACTCCAACACCATCATTAAGTTTGCCGATGACACAACAGTGGTAAGCCTGATCACCGACAACGATGAGACAGCCTATGGGAGGAGGTCAGAGACCTGCCGTGTGGTGCCAGGATAACCACCTCTCCCTCAACGTGATCAAGACAAAGGAGATGATTGTGGACTACAGGAAAAAAAGAGGACTGAGCATGCCCCCATTCTCATCGAGGGGGCTGTAGTGGAACAGGTTGAGAGCTTCAAGTTCCTTGGTGTCCACATCACGAACGAACTATCATGGTCCAAACACACCAAGACAGTCGTGAAGAGGGCACAACAAAGCCTATTCCCCCTCAGGAGACTGAAAAGATTTGGCATGGATCCTCAGATCTTCAAAACAAAAAGTTCTACAGCTGCACCATCGAGAGCATCCTGACTGGTTGCATCACCGCCTAGTATGGCAACTGCTCGGCCTCTGACCGCAAGGCACTACAGAGGGTAGTCCGTACGGCCCAGTACATCACTGGGGCCAAGCTTCCTGCCATCCAGGACCTCTATACCAGGCAGTGTCAGAGGAAGGCCCTAAAAATTGTCAAAGACTCCAGCCACCCTAGTCATAGACTGTTCTCTCTGCTACCGCATGGCAAGCGGTACTGGAGCGCCAAGTCTAGGTCCAAAAGGCTTCTTAACAGCTTCTACCCCCAAGCTATAAGACTCCTGAACAGCTAATCATGGCTACCCTAACTATTTGCATTGCCCCCCCCCCCTCTTTTATGCTGCTGCTACCTCTGTTTGTTTATCATCTATGCATAGTCACTTTAACTCTACCCACATGTCCATATTACCTCAATTACCTCGACTAACCGGTGCCCCCTGTATATAGCCTCCCTACTGTTATTTTATTTTACTGCTGCTCTTTAATTATTTGCTATTTTTATATTTTACTTATCTATTTTTTACTTAACACTTTTTTTTTTTTCTTAAAACTGCATTGATGGTTAAGGGCTGTAAGTAAGCATTTCACTGTAATGTCTACACCTGTTATATTCGATGCATGTGGCAAATAACATTTGATTTGATTTGAAATCCCCGTATCCACTCTTCCTCCTGTGTCTCCAACCTATTTATCTCCCCATCTGTTTCATAACTGTCAAATAAAGTAAGAAAATACTGAGGGGAGGGAGTGGAATTCCCCCCAAAAATTGAAAGAGAAGATATACTGTAGCTAAAAAGTACACAGGAAATGGGCCAATAAGAAAAAAAATACAAGCCATCACAATGACTTTGCCTATACACAGACTATGTGCTGCGTGTAGGGCCCCCGACCACTAGAAAGTCAGTCGGGGTCTCAACTTACAACAGCAGTTTTCCTCTTGTGTCAGTCACTGACAGTCAATCAATTAGCCCATATCAGCTAACATGTTATTGATTGCTAGGTAAGTTAGTCTAGCCAGCTATCTTGTAGTAATCATGGCCGAATTACTGACCAGGCACGCAAGGCACGTGCCCAGGGGCCCTCATTGATTTTGTAAGAAACTCTCACTCAGATATCATATGAACATTGCATAAGTCATGGCAAAATGTGTTGAACTGCAGGGAATCGGCTTTAAAACTGCAAAATGTTCTTCCTATCCCATGGCAAAATGAGTAAAATCCCATTAAATGAGTTTTAAAACTGCTAAAGTTTCTCTCTGCCCCATGAAGAAATGTGTAGAATTGCAGGACCTTAACTTTAAAGCTGCAATATATAACTCATCAATGTCAATGAAAGCAAGTTTAAAAAGCCGTACATATGTGCCCCGTTTTTTAAGTTTGGTTTTTGCGTCTTTTACATTCGGTTTTGTACACCAGCTTCAAACAGCTGTATATACAATATCTTTGCTTATGGAAAAGTTATTTCACAGCGGTTTAGATGGTACAATGATTCTCTACACTATACATTGCTTGTTTTGTCACATAAACTGAAATTAGGCGAACTATTAGAATTTTAGCAACCAGGAAATGGCAGAGCGATTTCTGCATATTGTACCTTTAAAGCTGCACATTTTCTCTCCAGCGCCAAGAGGGTGGCCACTAAAATGTTTTGCCCGCGAGGTGGGTGGGGGGCCCCCAACAAAATCTTGCTTAAGGCCCCCAAAACGCTACAGGTGGCCCTGCGTACTGCTTAGTTCCTACAAACCAGCTTTTACTGGAAGGTTGACTTTACTGGAAGGAAAGTGAAAGCTTTCACTCTAGAAGCACAGAGGCTGTTTAAGAGTAATGACAGTGACAGCTTGACCTTTCTGTCTGAAAGGAATTATCTCTTTGATGCCTCTCTTTTGTCCAGACATTTTGTCTTCACTGGAATTTTTGGCCCATAACTTAATGCTGACGGGGACATGAGACTGGGAGAGTCCTACTGTCTGTCAGTGTCAGGAGTCACATTTACACCAGCTGGTTTGTTAACATGTGTTGACCTCTCCACAGCTGGTCTGGGGTTTTATCCCTCGATCAATCCTTTCTTTCTCTTGACCCCCCTGGTTTGTCATTACCCCCTCTTTTCAGGTGTTCATGTAGGTGTGGAGGAGTCTGGTAATCCCACTGAGACCAAGCCTGTCCCTCAGAGCCCTGTCTTACCCGTTGGTCCAATATCAGACGGGGCCCTACCACATATGATGGAGACTGGGGAGGCAGGAGCCCCCGGAATCATCATGTCTTCCAAACCACCCAAGGGGGCTGACGGCAGCATGTCCCCCCTCAAGGGCTTCGCTGGAGCCCCAGGTGAGATATAGGGGTAGCTGGGAGAGAGGCTAGGAACACGTACAGAATGCATGTGCATTTGCATATCTACACACACACATACATCCCAAGCACATGCACACGCAAGTAGGTATGTTTGCAAGATTAATTGCATTCTTTCAAAACCTCATGAAATGTATCTTCATTATTTTACAGCCTCCCCACCATCTACAGGGTCTTTAAAGCCTAATATACCAGTGATTTCTGGTAAGTGCTATTTGACTCATTTGATTAAATTTACTATCAAGATAAAATTGAGTCTCCTGAAAATGAACCTCTTTCAACAGTTGCCCACATTCCTCTGAGATCGTCATTACACAATCCATATTTAACTTTAACAGGTAAGATATGTAGTGCTCTTGTTACGATGAATTCCATAGTAATCCAATCAGCTACTGTATGGACAAGAATTATCTGTCCCAATAACCACTTGAAAATTTGTTTTGAGTGTGTCCCAAATTTGGGACAGAAACTGTGTCAATGTGACATTAGATTAAACTTTAACCCTGTATCTCTGTGTCAGGTGAGCGGGTGTCCTTCTCGGCTGGGCTCAACCGCTTGCCCTTCCCTGGGGAGGTGGGCATCATCCGCTTCAACAAGGTGTTGGTGAATGATGGGGGACACTATGACCCTCACACAGGTAACGACTACATCACTGTCACACACATATGGACATCACCACACTAACCTAGATGTAAACTACAACTTATCCAAATAATCAAGAGTTTTATGGTTGTACATCTAGGTGACAATACAGATGAATGTCAACTCGTGTTTGTTCACTCTCACAACTGACATGTATGAGTGCCCTGTTGTGGCTGATAGGTTTCCTCTGACCCTCTTCATGTCTTCCAGGCATCTTTAACGTTCCCATGGAGGGCCACTACCTGCTGAGTGCCGTGCTAACAGCCCAGAGAGGTGCCAGGGTGGAGGCAGTGTTCTCTGTGTCCAACCGCAGCATCCAGAGGCTGGACACGGCCGGTTACCTCCCTGATAATGGTGGTGGAGGTGGGGCTGGCTCCACCAGCTGTGACTGCGGAGGCTCTGCCTCCCTGAGCCTGGTTCTGACTCTGAAGCGTGGGGACAGGGCAGGTTTAGTCATGACCGCAGGCAAACTTGCCATCTCAGAGAACACAGAGGTCCTCTCAACATTTAGCGCCGTGCTTCTCTACCCCACCCCCTCAAAAAAATAGCCGCCATGTTATAGACAAAGTTATCCCCTAAAAAAGAAAACCCCACCAATGATATTGCTTTATGTAGCTCCACCATCAAAACAACATCCATTCTACTTTAGATGTATGCCGTGTTCACGTGCTAGTCGGAACTAGGAAACTCTGAAATGTGACTTGCTAATTGGTTGTAGTTCTACACGTGTCGTGTTCAACCAGTTAGCAAGACGGACATTTTGGAGTTTCCTAGTTCCGACTAGCATGTGAACGCGGCAGTAGTATGCCCAACATAGCATGCCTTACTGGTATTTTAGTAAAACAAGTAGATTAACTCATGATAGTACTTTAAAGCAATCTTATGACAGAGCTTTCATACAAAAAGAGAAATGTGTATCAAATATTTGATCATAGGATCCTTATGGAGGGGACAGGGCAGGCTACTGCCATTTATGGAGTATTACAATTTGGTGATTGATTATATTTGAAATGTTACATGTTTGAATGTGTGCTTGTGTTGATGTGTGTGTTCAATTTGTTTACATTTGTGGTAGTGTTTATTTTAAACCTGTGTAATTGTTGATATTTTCTAAATACTATTTTATGAGAGGACAATCAATTACACAGTACCTTACATACAGTACAGAGAACTGCCTAAATAAAGGAAACAGCAACATAGTGTCTTAAGAGGGCGTTGGGCCACCCCGAGCCAGAACAGCTTCAATGCGCCTTGGCATAGATTCTACAAGTGTCTGGAACTCTATTGGAGGGATGCGACACCATTCTTCCACAAGAAATTCCATCATTTGGTGTTTTATTGATGGTGGTGGAAAACATTTAGGCGCCGCTCCAGAATCTCCCATAAGTGTTCAATTAGGTTGAGATCTGGTGACTGAGACGGCCATGGCATATGGTTTACATTGTTTTCATGCTCATCAAACCATTCAGTGACCACTCGTGCCCTGTGGATGGGGGCATTGTCAAGGTAGCCCCAAAAAATGGCCAAAATATTGGCCTGCCCAGCATTTTTATACATGGGATGTTGATTGCTTAATTAACTCAATGTTCCACCTCTGTGGAAGCACCTGCTTTTAATATACTTTGTATCCCTCATTTACTCAAGAGTTTCCTTTATTTTGGCAGTTACCTGTAGCATTGTTAGAGGAACTAACGTTAAACAAATAAGCTGGTCCTTTTTCTACTTGACAAGGGATACAGAACATTTCGACAAGGACAGTTGTTTTGAAAGGTCTTTGTATTTCACCTCCTCCCAATGACTCCCAATGTTCTTTAGGACCAATGCCTGAAATGGAAATGTTTCAGTGCCTTTTCTTGGATCAGAGGACTTAAATTCAGCCCCTGGGGCCTGTAATAAAAGCTTTGTCTAAACAGTGGTCATGAGTGTTTATTAACTAGGGTATTGTAGTGTTATTATTCTATAGGCCTACTGTTTATAGTATCACTATAAATGATGACAGAATGGTATCACAGGTGTTTCTTACATGAATTACAGTGAGAGCTGTTTAGGAAAAAGTGGATTGTGTGTTCAAACAACTGGAGTAGAGGTGCTCATTTGAATAATCGGATGCATCAGAAGGTGTGACACTCTCCATTCTAAAAAATATTTATCTGATGAAGGTCTCTGAGCAAAACGTCATGCTGTGTTTTTAACAGCGCTGTTTAGCTAGATTGTTGGCACAAGAAGAGCGGTTCCAAAATGCACACCCTCATTACACCAAACATCTGCATGGAATCTTAGAATGTATTTATTATTTTGGTAAAGATTCATATCTCAAACACACACTTCAATGTACATGGCGACATGTAAAAAAAAAAAAAAGGCATTTGAGTTACACTGATCACTATCAAAGCAGTTGCTGAAAAAAACTACAAATACCAGAGCATTAAGATGTGTGTACTCTCCACACAATATCACTTTCATAGAAAGAACAGCATTACTACTGCGGAACTCTGCAACACCTCTGAACATCATCAAATACAACAGCGAAATGAGGATGACAAAATACACCTAAATATAGTTCCAAATATACAAGACAAACACAAGCCATAATATAAATATATCCCGTAAAGAATCATTCATTTCATAACACAAACATTGTAAAGGTAACCCATAAAATGTCTGCTAAACTGCTTTCAGTGCATATTAGTCTGTCTCCTTCCAAAATCTCCAGTGCTGTGTGTGTGAGCAACTGCTACACTTTAGAAAGTGCTTCCTTCGCCTTTAACCTCACTACAGCTATCTGTCCGTATGTCTTAAACATTGAGCCAGCTCAGATCAGTTGAATCTCTACCTATTATCATACAGTATGTGTGTATCTAAGACTTCTGTCAGTTCCACTGGCAGCTCAGAGCAAAATCTCAGTTAAAGCTTAGCATGTACTGTATACAGCAAGGCCTTTCCAAGCAGCATGATTCTCCAAATTAATATCTAACCATATTGCAACAATATAACTGTATTATAATTCTAAGCAGACTGAACCAAATGAGAAGTGAAAGGTCAGCATTATCACTCAAGCCAAATAACCAACTAACCTTACAACTAAGCCAGCCTTCTTTCTCTTCACATTGTATTCTAAAAAGGCTGTACAGTCTAAATGTATGATGTGAGGCAGTTCTTATTGATATCATTGCAATGAGTGCTATTGTACCTGTGTAGCACTAAACAATTGAGTAAGCATCAGCATCAGTAGACACATAGTATACAGTCATCAAAGCAGATATTAAGGCAGTGCAAGCAATCATAATGGAAAGAGCCATGAAATTATTACGCAACACAAAATATTGCCTATGCCGATTTCAATGAGGTTGATTTCAAGTTATTTTTTTTCATCCAAAAAACAAAGTTTATCTACTGTACCAAAGTGTCTGTTAATTACTACCTTAATACCTGATAATAATACCACAGCTGTGGGAACTGTCCAATCAGAATCAGAGCAGCTCCTGAAGACTGACTTCAGTGATTGGTTGTCTCAGAACAGCTCCTCAAGACACACTTCAGTGATTGGTTGTCTCAGAGCAGCTCCTCAAGACAGACTTCATCAATTGGCTGTCTCCAGAAGCAGAAAGAACTGAATTCTGGGAAACTGAAGGTGGCGCTCTGCTCCTTACTGCGTAAAGGAAAAACGTGCTCTACCAGTTCACTCAGTCGGCCGTACCTACAGTGAGACAGGCAAGGGGTTAGATAACAGTTACTTACTGACCAAGGTCGGGATTCAATCAAAGGCACATGGTCGACAAACGCACTGCACTTTACTTTTAAGGTAATTTACGCTTGAGCCGAATCCCGGCCCAAATACGTCCAAAGAAACCCACACTACTGACATACAGACAGATAAACTACCTGTAAAGTGGCTACTTACGATGTTTTATTGCCTTTCGCTTGCTCTAGGATGAGCTCTCCTTTGGGATTGACTGTGAATATCCGACACACAGGGACACCCACTTGCTTGTAGGCAAACACATCCTGATTCAAAAATGAAAGTGTCATTTTAACAGTCTCCCTATTCTAATAATATTCAAAATTAGGTATATGATTACAAGATAAAACAAAGCTTACATTTGTTCGGTTTCCAAAGGCTGCATAGAAGGGATGTGTGTTTGGGTAGAAGAGGTTCTTGATGTCTGTGAGGCATTCAATCTTGAACTTCTCTGGCTTCTTTTCAATTACCTCCCTTATAGAAGGTTAAAGTAAAATAAAATGCTTGAAATGTAACCATTTTACAACACTATTATAATGTTTAAATCAAACCATTTTGCAACAATATCATAACTGTATCAGAGAGTTTCTAAACACAGATGCCCAACATCACGAGACCTCCGGGAACGCTTGCAAAGATGACTCGGCAGACCAGACCGGGATTTGGTGTTTGAGAAGTCAATGAGAGAAGTGGAAAAAGTATTCCTTAGTTGTTAACCCATAAGAGTCTAAGCCGAGTCTAAGCCCTGTCTAAGGGGGAGGGGGATAAATCATTTTTGGCCTTGCTGCTATTACCCCAAAAGGAAGTTTGTTCTGAAGTGTCTGTCCTATATCTGAGATATAGAAAAGATCAGGAAACATTTGTAATATTTTTTATTTACATGTATTTAACCCCTTATTTTTTGCACTAAACAGTCTCCATATACGGTATACTTCCATTCATTGTTTCGACTGGACCTTCAGACGAGTTTTGTGAGGCCTGTGGGCATGTATGTGTTCGTGAGAGTCTCACCTTTCCACATATTAGTGTGTAGCCCAAACTATTCGGACGCTACAGACAGAAGTTGGCAGATCGGCTGTCCCGAATTCAGATGAGTCCCAAGACGCTTGTGGGGGTAGTAGAGCAAAATGGAGAACACCATCGTGTTCGTGAGAGTCTCATCTTTCCATAGATATAATAGTTTGTAGCCAAACCGTTCGGACGGTACAGATGATTTTGTGAGAAGACCAATTTTCGGGATGTTTCATGGTCTGACAAACACGGCTCTACCTCTGTCAACTTTCACCGCAGATGCGGAAGTGCGACATACAGTGCGGGAAAAAAGTATTTGATCCCCTGCTGATTTTGTATGTTTGCCCACTGACAAAGATATGATCAGTCTATAATTTTAATGGTAGGTTTATTTGAACAGTGAGAGTCAGAATAACAACAAAAAAAATCCAGAAAAACACATGTTGTTATACATTTATTTGCATTTTAATGAGGGAAATAAGTATTTGACCCCCTCTCAATCAGTACGATTTCTGGCTCCCAGGTGTCTTTTATACAGGTAACGAGCTGAGATTAGAAGCACACTCTTAAAGGGAGTGCTCCTAATCTCAGTTTGTTACCTGTATAAAAGACACGTGTCCACAGAAGCAATCAATCAATCAGATTCCAAACTCTCCACCATGGCCAAGACCAAAGTGCTCTCCAAGGATGTCAGGGACAAGATTGTAGACCTACACAAGGCTGGAATGGGCTACAAGACCATCGCCAAGCAGCTTGGTGAGAAGGTGACAAATGTTGGTGTGATTATTCGCAAATGGAAGAAACACAAAGAACTGTCAATCTCCCTCGGCCTGGGGCTCCATGCAAGTTCTCACCTCGGGGAGTTGCAATGATCATGAGAACGGTGAGGAATCAGCCCAAAACTACACGGGAGGATCTTGTCAATGATCCCAAGGCAGCTGGGACCATAGTCACCAAGAAAACAATTGGTAACACACTACGCCGTGAAGGACTGAAATCCTGCAGCGCCCGCAAGGTCCCCCTGCTCAAGAAAGCACATATACATGCCCGTCTGAAGTTTGCCAATGAACATCTGAATGATTCAGAGGAGAACTGGGTGAAAGTGTTGTGGTCAGATGAGACCAAAATCGAGCTCTTTGGCATCAACGCAACTCGCCGTGTTTGGAGGAGGAGGAATGCTGCCTATGACCCCAAGAACACCATCCCCACCGTCAAACATGGAGGTGGAAACATTATGCTTTGGGGGTGTTTTTCTGCTAAGGGGACAGGACAACTTCACCGCATCAAAGGACGATGGACGGGGCCATGTACCGTCAAAACTTGGGTGAGAACCACCTTCCCTCAGCAAGGGCATTGAAAATGGGTCGTGGATGGGTATTCCAGCATGACAATGACCCAAAACACACGGCCTAGGCAACAAAGGAGTGGCTCAAGAAGAAGCACATTAAGGTCCTGGAGTGGCCTAGCCAGTCTCCAGACCTTAATCCCATAGAAAATCTGTGGAGGGAGCTGAAGGTTCGAGTTACCAAACGTCAGCCTCGAAACCTTAATGACTTGGAGAAGATCTGCAAAGAGTAGTGGAACAAAATCGCTCCTGAGATGTGTGCAAACCTGGTGGCCAACTACAAGAAACGTCTGACCTCTGTGATTGCCAACAAGGGTTTTGCCACCAAGTACTAAATCATGTTTTGCAGAGAGGTCAAATACTTATTTCCCTCATTAAAATGCAAATCAATTTATAACATTTTTGACATGTGTATTTCTGGATTTTTTTGTTGTTATTCTGTCTCTCACTGTTCAAATAAACATACCATTCAAATTATAGACTGATCATGTCTTTGTCAGTGGGCAAACGTACAAAATCAGCAGCGGATCAAATACTTTTTTCCCCTCAATGTAGGTGGATTGAGACGCATCCATTGCAAAAAAACAGATATCTCGAGTTTAAACTGACAGATTTTTATGGGGATATTTTATTATTATGCTAATTAGATTTCTGTGGGGGCATGGACATCAACCTTAGGGGGTTAATTTTCTAGAAATCTAAACGCAAAAACGAAATTCGAGCCAATGTCTTAATGGGATACTTCGGGATTTTGGCAATGAGGCCCTTTATCTACTTCCCCAGAGTCAGATGATCGTGGATACCATTTTTTTTTCTCAGCGTGCAGTTTGAAGGAAGTTGCCAACTAGCGCAATTGCTAACTAGTGTTAGTGCATTGACTGGAAGTCTATGGTATCTGCTCGTTAGCGCAATCAAAGCTTAATGATGAATTGATTATTTGAGTCAGCTGTGCAGTCCTTGGGCAAAAACCAAAACGTGCAGCCCTTGGGGTCGCCAGGACCGAGTTTGGGAAACACTACGCTAACACTAGTTAGCATTGGCTCGCGAAACTACCTCTAATTTACTAAATGCTGGACACAGAGACATAAAAATGGTGTCCACAAGTGCATTGGACTCTGGGGAAGTAGATAAAGGGTCCCATTTATCTGTATCCCTTTAAGTAGCTGAACATGTTATTATGCCAATCTTGTGAAAGTGAAACACGTTTTCATTTTAGTCAAAAACAACTTTATATCTAAGGAGTGCCTTTGATTTGACGGCCTGCACATGCACAGTTCGGCGTGAGACGACCGTTAGACCCGATGACGTGTTTCTGCGCATGAACTTAGCTACAAGCGTAATTGTGGATTTCGACATATCTTCATACTAAACCATATTTGACTGTATTACAATTATAAATAGACTGACCAAATGAGAACGGAAAGGTGAGTTTTACCTATGAAAGGCAGAGAAGAGGCTGCTGGGGGAGAGCATGAGGGGTCCTCGAGGCAGTATGGTTCCCCGGTCGTTCACCCAGTGCAGGTACCCTCTGGTCATGTCGGCCATGCCGATGGCCCGCGCCGAACAGTACAGGAACTTGTAGCCATTCCTGAAGACAATAGACATGCATACTGAAGTCACTGCAACCTCAACATGCATATAGAGCCTAGATTAGATCCTTATCCTACCCACTCGATCTAATTGTTGAGCTACTGGAATATTTTTTTTAAATGTGAAACAAGAATGTGATTAGTCATGCATAAGTGGTGAATGTCAGAAACGGTAGCTCTGGGGCCGTGTGTATCACATATTTCGGAGTAGGAGAGCCATTTTAGGATCAGTTTAGCTTTTTAGATAACAATAAATAAGAACAAGGACAGGAGCTCTATTCAATCTGTATCGCTGAAGTGTTACAGAATGCGCAATAGAAATGAAAAGGTAATTTCCGATTGAGCCGACATATGCAGCGTTTAACGTGAATGCAGTCGACGCTAACGCGGGAACATTACCTTTAAATTTGTATCACGCCGTAACACTGAACTTCCACGATACAGATTGAATAGAGGCCCTAATCCTAGATCAGTACTCTCTGAGACACTTGACACATACAGCCCCTGGTCTGGGGCTTTACTTACTCATGCACTGAGTGGTAGAGCTTAGCGATGCCTTGATGAGTCCAGTCTTTCCCAAGCTGAGGGAGGATTTGGCCAAACACATCCGACCTAAGAAAATAAGCATTTTGTGAGGCTTCAAAACTAGCTTCACCTGATGGTATTAGCTAGCGTGAATCCCTTATAGGATTCCCAATAACTTAAGAAGCATGTCCGAACTGATTCATTAAGTGTAATCATGTGTTTTGAACAGAAAACCATTACCAGACAGACCTCCAGTATCAAACAAACAAAACTGTGAGATTCAAAGATCAGGAGAGGACCTTAATCCCATATCAGATGTTGAGTCTCCTGAGAATCAGACAGTAGGCCCTGCGTCCCAAATGGCATCCAACTCCCTATATAGTGCACTACTTTTGACCAGGGCCCTACGGTGCACTAAGCAGGGAATAGGGTGCCATTTGGGACACAGCCTCAGACAGTAGGAGTTGACACTGAGGGGACTGAATGGCGTTGCAGGCTTTGGTTTTTCTCTCAAAGTCAATTTCGAGGATGGTTCTGTGTGGGTGTGGCACGCTCTGATTGGAATCATACTCATCGGTCAGGATGGGTTGCACCTGTTGTCCTAGTTAGTCAGAAGAGGTTTCCCCTGTTCTGGCACAGCTGATATTTAAGAGCTGTTGGTCCAGTGCTTCAGATGGCATGAGGGATGTTGGAAGAGCTGCACCTCTTTTATTTTTATTTTTTTACTCGTCCTCTTTAAGTTGATAAACAAAGCCTTTTATCTTGTCTCTCCCCTGTTTGGTTGGTTGGCTCCATGTTTATTTTCAGTCCCTAACCCAAGTTAGTGTGGGTTTACTTTTCTTATAGCTTGTCTGTTACTGGGCAAATCTTGTGGGTGTCCATGGTTGGTGTGTTAAGACCATAGAGAATGATGGAGGCCTCTAGTGGCCAAAAGGACGTTTTCGCATGGGCAGCGCCATTGAGGGCTTCCACCATGCTTCCGCCATTTAAAAGTAGTCCACTGGGTGGAGATTCCTATGGGTTGTAGCCTCAATAACGCTGCCCATGCTGTCACAGACGCGATAATGGCACAGATATAAAGATGAGTCCTCTATCTATATGGTTAAGACCCTACTCGAGTTTGCTTGTACAGCACTCAGTAAGCACCCACATGTATGCCTTTCAGAACCCATTTTAAAACCCCCACCTGTTTGGTTTTGGTTGTCCGTGGCTCATTTGTTAGTACCCTTTTTCTGTTGAGCGAAGCGGAGGAGATCTTCGTGGGCTATACTCAGCCTTGTCTCAGGGTAGTAGGTTGGTGGTCTGTTGATATCCCTCTAGTGGTGTGGGGGCTGTGCTTTGGCAAAGTGGGTGGGGTTATATCCTGCCTGGTTGGCCCTGTCCGGCGGTATCGTCGGACGGGGCCACAGTGTCTCCCGACCCCCCCTGTCTCAGCCTCCAGTATCTATGCTGCAATACTCTATGTGCCGGGGGGCTAGGGTCAGTTTGTTATATCTGGTGTAATTCTCCTGTCTTATCTGGTGTCCTGTGTGAATTTAAGTATGCTCCCTCTAATTCTCTCTCTCTCCCTCCCCTCCCAGAGGACCTGAGCCCTAGGACCATGCCTCAGGACTACCTGGCCTGATGACTCCTTGCGGTCCCCAGTCCACTTGGTCGTGCTGCTGTAGCAGTTTCCACTCTTCTGCCTGCGGCAATGGAACCCTGACCTGTTCACCAGATGTGCTACCTTGTCCCAAACCTGCTGTTTTCAACTCTCTCTCTCTCTACCTCATCTGCTATTTCAACCTCTAAATGACCGGCTATGAAAAGCCAAGTGACATTTACTCCTGATGTACTGACCTGTTGCAACCTCTACAACCACTGTGATTATTATTTGAACCTGCTGGTCATCTATGAAGGTTTGAATCTGGCCTTAATGGCCATGTACTGTTATAATCTCCACCCGGCACAGCCAGAAGGGGACTGGCCACCCCTCAGAGCCTGGTTCCTCTCTCGGGTTCTACCATTCTAGGGAGTTTTTCCTAGCCACCGTGCTTCTACAGACTAGGTGAAAAATCTGTCGATGTGCCCTTGAGCAAGGCACTTAACCCTAATTGCTCCTGTAAGTCGCTCTGGATAAGAGCGTCTGCTAAATGACTTAAATGTAAATGTACATCTGCATTGCTTGCTGTTTGGGGTTTTAGGCTGGGTTTTTGTATAGCACTTTGTGACATCTGCTGATGTAAAACGGGCTTTATAAATACATTTGATTGATTGAAAGCCACTGTACTTGGTGATGGTGCCGTCGATGTCGGAGATGATGACTTTGTCATCCCAGTTCCACAGGTAGATGGTACCCTCGCAGCGACACGTCCCCTGGTACTGAGTGGTAATGCTGAAGGTGACGTCATTAGGCCCCTCCCTCAGCTTCAGACTCACCTATGAGAAGACAGAGATGAAGTGGTGCGTGAAAGAGTGACAGCAAGTGGTTTTCCAAATATCTGCTGACGTGCTAATATACAGAGTTGGATAGAGGGTGCACTTGCCCCCAAAAGCCCTCAATGGCGCTGCCCATGCAGTCAGAGAAGCCATTATGGCAAGGGATGCAGAGATGTGCACTCTGTCCAACTCTGTGGTAATGTAACTTTATAAGTTATGAACGTGGCTCTTACTATCTGGTCAGATGAGAGGCGGAGAGACTTCTTGTAGGAGTGCGATCCGGTTGGTGCTGGAATCTCTGTCTGCACGCACTCAGTAGGTGCCACTGCATTGAGCTCTTTAGATTCATCATCACTGGAGGAGTCTGCTGCTGCTTTTTGCCTGCATTTGAAATAACAACCTAATTTCAACATCAGACTTCCTAAAAACAGTACAAGTTTAAACTAATATGAGTAAAGATGAGGAGAGTGAGTAGTTACTCTGAAAATAAATTGAAGAATGATGCTTGTCTAGACATCAGTTATTCAAAAGAAACCCCCAGCACTTGTATATGTTGCCACTAGAGGGCAGTATCCCAATAATCTGAATTGTCATTCAGCTTTATTTACTTCTGAAAGACAAAATGCTGATGAGACTTCTAAACAGGGTCTCTCGTGCATGTTCTCAGGGGCACTTCCTATCGGTCACTGTTTTTCCAGAGCTAATCCAGTTTGCCATTGGTTGGTGTCAAGAATATGGGGGAGGAGGGTTACATCACTGTGTGACTAATTGGGCTTCCCCTTATGAAACAACGCCGGGGCTGGTGGTAGGGGACATACAGGGCGGTGCTGGGCTGACTCACTGTGGCACTGTTGGACTCTGTTGATCAAGGACAGGGCTCTCTGTGTCTCCGTGTGTCTCTGACAGGGACTCCTGTCTGTCCATCTTGGCCTCTGAAGACTGGTGAGAGGAGCAGACAACATGAATTACCCCTTAACGGAACATCATGTCAACATTGATTTGATATGACCTAGTATTATTCATTGATTTATAGTGTAATTACTGCCCATTTTTACATTAAAAACTCCTTCCTATAGTCATGCAGTACAATGAGCACATGGTTCTCATCACTCTGACTTGCTTAGGCTCATTTACAGTGGAAATTAAAACAAATCTAATGCCGTTCACATGGGAACTATTTCCTGCCCACACAAACAGAGGCATGAAGAAAGAGAGGCTGAACACCATGGACCATCTGTTCAAGTTGACAAAGTATAGTATCCAGAAAGCAGTTCATTTAGGGTCGATTTCACTATGAGTACTACAGAGTATCAATACAAGTGGACCTATAGCATAATGCAAGAACACCCTGTGTGCGTCCCAAATGGCACCCTATTACCTATGTAGTGCACTAATTTTGAACAGAGCCCTATAGGCCCTGATCAAAACTAGTGCACTATATAGGGAATAGGGTGCCATTTGGGACACAAATCCTACCTGTTTGACGCTGCTCTTCCTCCAGAACCACCAGCGGCCGGACTTCTTAGGCATCTTCTCCTTCACCCATGCCTCTTCTGTGGCCTGAGATAAAGTATTTATGAGTACATGCACAGAAAGTTCTAACATACAATTAGAATGCATAACTTGTGATCTACCTTGGGCAGGTTCTTCTGGAAAGCTTGCATACTCAGTATCAATGGAGCTGCCAATGTCCAGTTGTAATATCTGTAAAACAAAGAAAGAAAGATATATATATACAGTGGGGAAAAAAAGTATTTAGTCAGCCACCAATTGTGCAAGTTCTCCCACTTAAAAAGATGAGAGAGGCCTGTAATTTTCATCATAGGTACACGTCAACTATGACAGACAAAATGAGAAAAAAAAATCCAGAAAATCACATTGTAGGATTTTTAATGAATTTATTTGCAAATTATGGTGGAAAATAAGTATTTGGTCAATAACAAAAGTTTCTCAATACTTTGTTATATACCCTTTGTTGGCAATGACACAGGTCAAACTTTTTCTGTAAGTCTTCACAAGGTTTTCACACACTGTTGCTGGTATTTTGGCCCATTCCTCCATGCAGATCTCCTCTAGAGCAGTGATGTTTTGGGGCTGTCGCTGGGCAACACGGACTTTCAACTCCCTCCAAAGATTTTCTATGGGGTTGAGATCTGGAGACTGGCTAGGCCACTCCAGGACCTTGAAATGCTTCTTACGAAGCCACTCCTTCGTTGCCCGGGCGGTGTGTTTGGGATCATTGTCATGCTGAAAGACCCAGCCACGTTTCATCTTCAATGCCCTTGCTGATGGAAGGAGGTTTTCACTCAAAATCTCACGATACATGGCCCCATTCATTCTTTCCTTTACACGGATCAGTCGTCCTGGTCCCTTTGCAGAAAAACAGCCCCAAAGCATGATGTTTCCACCCCCATGCTTCACAGTAGGTATGGTGTTCTTTGGATGCAACTCAGCATTCTTTGTCCTCCAAACACGACGAGTTGAGTTTTTACCAAAAAGTTTCATCTGACCATATGACATTCTCCCAATCCTCTTCTGGATCATCCAAATGCACTCTAGCAAACTTCAGACGGGCCTGGACATGTACTGGCTTAAGCAGGGGGACACGTCTGGCACTGCAGGATTTGAGTCCCTGGCGGCGTAGTGTGTTACTGATGGTAGGCTTTGTTACTTTGGTCCCAGCTCTCTGCAGGTCATTCACTAGGTCCCCCCGTGTGGTTCTGGGATTTTTGCTCACCGTTCTTGTGATCATTTTGACCCCACGGGGTGAGATCTTGCGTGGAGCCCCAGATCGAGGGAGATTATCAGTGGTCTTGTATGTCTTCCATTTCCTAATAATTGCTCCCACAGTTGATTTCTTCAAACCAAGCTGCTTACCTATTGCAGATTCAGTCTTCCCAGCCTGGTGCAGGTCTACAATTTTGTTTCTGGTGTCCTTTGACAGCTCTTTGGTCTTGGCCATAGTGGAGTTTGGAGTGTGACTGTTTGAGGTTGTGGACAGGTGTCTTTTATACTGATAACAAGTTCAAACAGGTGCCATTAATACAGGTAACGAGTGGCGGACAGAGGAGCCTATTAAAGAAGAAGTTACAGGTCTGTGAGAGACAGAAATCTTGCTTGTTTGTAGGTGACCAAATACTTATTTTCCACCATAATTTGCAAATAAATTCATAAAAAATCCTACAATGTGATTTTCTGGATTTTTTTCCCTCAATTTGTCTGTCATAGTTGACGTGTACCTATGATGAAAATTACAGGCCTCTCTCATCTTTTTAAGTGGGAGAACTTGCACAATTGGTGGCTGACTAAATACTTTTTTTCCCCACTGTATATATATATATATTAGGGGTGTAACGATCCATCTACTACATCGATGTATCGATTTATATTCCTATGATCCAACTACATCGATCTGTGCTCGGCGAGTTGGCCTTTTGGACAACATATATCGATCTAACATCGTTTTAAAATGTAATAAATCGATTGTATCGATACTAGGAAATAACCCATTGGATTTAAGCACGTCAGACTTTATATGGATGTTTTTTCTTAGCACTTTTAATGATAAAGGCTTTAAACATTACTCGATTCAGTCTGCCTATCCGTGACGTCATCGCCCCGCGCCAGCAGCAGCGCAAAGGCGCAAAGACAACAAAACATAGCATGGCGGACGACAGAGGAGAAGCCGACGAGCGAGAAATTATCAAGCCACCATCGCGGTCCTTAAAAGAAACAGGAATCTAGGAAACTTCACCTGCACTGTCCAGTATCCAGGTATTTATTTCAGTCACACTGGTTGAATTTTTGGCTAAAAGGTTACTGAATCGATTTCAAGTCACTGAATCGTTTCGGATCGTATCGTTCTAAATGAACCAATATCATCCTTGAATCGTATCGACAACCACGAATCGTGATACAAATCGAATCGTTGTTAAAACGAATCGTTACACCCCTAATATATATATATATACACATACACACACACACACAGTTGAAGTCGGAAGTTTACATACACCTTAGCCAAATACATTTAAACTCAGTTCTTCACAATTTCTGACATTTAATCCTAGTAAAAATTCCCTGTTTTAGGTCAGTTAGGGTCACCACATTATTTTAAGAATGTGAAATGTCAGAATAATAGTAGAGAGAATGATTTCTTTCAGCTTTTATTTCTTTCATCACATTCCCAGTGGGTCAGAAGTTTACATACACTCAATTATTATTTGGTAGCATTGCCTTTAAATTGTTTAACTTGGGTCAAACGTTTCGGGTAGCCTTCCACAAGCTTCCCACAATAAATTGGGTGAATTTTGGCCCATTCCTCCTGACAGAGCTGGTGTAACTGAGTCAGGTTTATAGGCCTCCTTGCTCGCACACGTTTTTTCAGTTCTGCCCACACATTTTCTATAGGATTGAGGTCAGGGCTTTGTGATGGCCACTCCAATACCTTGACTTTGTTGTCCTTAAGCCATTTTGCCACAACTTTGGAAGTATGCTTGGGGTCATTGTCCATTTGGAAGACCCATTTGCAACCAAGCTTTAACTTCCTGACTGATGTCTTGAGATGTTGCTTCAATATATCCACATAATGTTCCTTCCTCATGATGCCATCTATTTTGTGAAGTGCACCAGTCCCTCCTGCAGCAAAGCACCCCCACAGCATGATGCTGCCACCCCCCGTGCTTCAAGGTTGGGATGGTGTTCTTCAGCTTGCAAGCGCTCCCCCTTTTTCCTCCAAACATAACAATGGTCATTATGGCAAAACAGTTCTATTTTTGTTTTATCAGACCAGAGGACATTTCTCCAAAAAGTACGATCTTTGTCCCCATGTGCAGTTGCAAACCGTAGTCTGGCTTTTTTATGGCGGTTTTGGAGCAGTGGCTTCTTCCTTGCTGAGGTGCCTTTCAGGTTATGTCGATATAGGACTCGTTTTACTGTGGATATAGATACTTTTGTACCTGTTTCCTACAGCATCTTCACAAGGTCCTTTGCTGTTGTTCTGGGATTGATTTGCACTTTTCGCACCAAAGTACGTTCATCTCTAGGAGACAGAACGCGTCTCCTTCCTGAGCGGTATGACGGCTGCGTGGTCCCATGGTGTTTATACTTGCATACTATTGTTTGTACAGATGAATGTGGTACCTTCAGGCGTCTGAAAATTGCTCCCAAGGATTAACCAGACTTGTGGAGGTCTACACATTTTTTTCTGAGGTCTTGGCTGATTTATTTAGATTTTCCCATGATGTCAAGCAAAGAGGCACTGAGTTTGAAGGTAGGCTTTGAAATACATACACAGGTATACCTCCAATTGACTCAAATGATGTCAATTAGCCTATCAGAAGCTTCTAAAGCCATTACATAATTTTCTGGAATTTTCCAAGCTGTTTAAAGGCACAGTCAATTTAGTGTATGTAAACTTTTGACCCACTGGAATTGTGATACAGTGAATTATAAGTGAAATATTCTGTCTGTAAACAATTGTTGGAAAAATTACTTGCACAAAGTAGATGTCCTAACCGACTTTCCAAAACTATAGTTTGTTAACAAGAAATGTGTGGAGTGGTTGAAAAACGAGTTTTAATGTCTCCAACCTATGTGTATGTAAACTTCCGACTTCAACTGTATATACACACTACCTTATATACACTGCTCAAAAAAATAAAGGGAACACTTAAACAACACAATGTAACTCCAAGTCAATCACACTTCTGTGAAATCAAACTGTCCACTTAGGAAGCAACACTGATTGACAATACATTTCACATGCTGTTGTGCAAATGGAATAGACAACAGGTGGAAATTATAGGCAATTAGCAAGACACCCCCAATAAAGGACTGGTTTTGCAGGTGGTGACCACAGACCACTTCTCAGTTCCTATGCTTCCTGGCTGATGTTTTTTGTCACTTTTGAATGCTGGCGATGCTTTCACTCTAGTGGTAGCATGAGATGGAGTCTACAACCCACACAATTGGCTCAGGTAGTGCAGCTCATCCAGGATGGCATATCAATGCGAGCTGTGGCAAGAAGGTTTGCTGTGTCTGTCAGCGTAGTGTCCAGAGCATGGAGGCGCTACCAGGAGACAGGCCAGTACATCAGGAGACGTGGAGGAGGCCGTAGGAGGGCAACAACCCAGCAGCAGGACCGCTACCTCCGCCTTTGTGCAAGGAGGAGCACTGCCAGAGCCCTGCAAAATGACCTCCAGCAGGCCACAAATGTGCATGTGTCTGCTCAAACGGTCAGAAACAGACTCCATGAGGGTTGTATGAGGGCCCGACGTCCACAGGTGGGGGTTGTGCTTACAGCCCAACACCGTGCAGGACGTTTGGCATTTGCCAGAGAACACCAAGATTGGCAAATTTTCACTGGCGCCCTGTGCGCTTCACAGATGAAAGCAGGTTCACACTGAGCACGTGACAGACGTGACAGAGTCTGGAGACGCCGTGGAGAACGTTCTGCTGCCTGCAACATCCTCCAGCATGACCGGTTTGGCGGTGGGTCAGTCATGGTGTGGGGTGGCATTTTTTTGGGGGGCCGCACAGCCCTCCATGTGCTCGCCAGAGGTAGCCTTACTGCCATTAGGTACCGAGATGAAATCCTCAGACCCCTTGTGAGACCATATGCTGGTGCGGTTGGCCCTGGGTACCTCCTAATGCAAGACAATGCTAGACCTCATGTGGCTGGAGTGTGTCAGCAGTTCCTGCAAGAGGAAGGCATTGATGCTATGGACTGGCCCGCCCGTTCCCCAGACCTGAATCCAATTGAGCACATCTAGGACATCATGTCTCGCTCCATCCACCAACGCCACGTTGCACCACAGACTGTCCAGGAGTTGGCGGATGCTTTAGTCCAGGTCTGGGAGGAGATCCCTCAGGAGACCATCCGCCACCTCATCAGGAGCATGCCCAGGCGTTGTAGGGAGGTCATACAGGCACGTGGAGGCCACACACACTACTGAGCCTCATTTTGACTTGTTTTCAGGACATTACATCAAAGTTGGATCAGCCTGTAGTGTGGTTTTCCACTTTAATTTTGAGGGTGACTCCAAATCCAGACCTCCATGGGTTGATAAATTTGATTTCCATTGATCATTTTTGTGTGATTTTGTTGTCAGCACATTCAACTATGTAAAGTATTTAATAAGATTATTTCATTCATTCAGATCTAGGATGTGTTATTTTAGTGTTCCCTTTATTTTTTTGAGCAGTGTAAACTTTTGACTGGTACTATATATATATATCTTTGTTTAATGGAAAAATACTCCAGTCTGAACTTAAACGACTTAAACCAGGTAGAAAGTGTGTAGAAATGATAATGAACTTACATTTAATTTAATATCTGAACAATTTTTCTTCAATCACAGTATTTCCAATATAGTGAGTTTATTAACAATCTTCGTCAAGAATATCGGCACATTTTCATTATTGACAATGAAAGAGGTGGCAATGTTGTTCCCTTGCCATCTAAATGCTGCATTTACTATTAATATAGCATTAAATATATTAATAGTTTTACAGATTGTATTTTGGCAATTATTTTCCAGAGGCAAAACCAGTTGAGAACCAATGCTCTAGAGGAATACCAGTCATTACCTTTGAAATCCATGAATGGAAGTGCACAGGTCAGGGCAAAGGAGAGATTATTGGGACGCAACAAGGGACTCTAAGCCTTGTGTCCCTAGGTCCCGGCTGTCTGTCGCGGAGCTCTACTTGCCTTGCCTCTTTCCACCCGTACACACCTCGACGAATGGGATTTTAAACCCTAAGCCCCTCTGTCCCATCTCTCGGTGCTACGGTTTCACATCATCATACCGTGCTTCTCTCACCCTGGGATATACGGTATTATTGGTTTAGTACACAAGGGGGCGCCAAAACAAAAGCAAAAAAGCCCATTGGGCGTCTATTACCAGAATGCAAACAAAATTATCACAAGTAATTGCGAATTTCCATCAAGGCCACTAGCTAAATATGCTAACGAGTGCAAACGAAAATAAACGAACTGCAAAGACAGGCAATCCAGCTCATAAAAGTTATACATATATAGGTAGGAGCTACCGAATGTCATTTTTGTTGAGGTTGGACATTTATAAGTGAAAATGTGAACGAGAGACATTGTGCAAATGAACAAAGTTTTGACGCATGCAGTACTGGCTCTCCAGCAGCATGTCTACAAGCTGTGTCTATGTGGAGTCTGGAGTCACTAGGGCAACGGGCCGGCCTGCTCTGCTCGGAGAAGAGGGGGGGAGGAGCAGACCACCAAGAACAGAGAGGAGAAGAAACTCAAGGAAATCAAGATACCAGTAGCAGCTGTACAAATAACCCATCCAAAGGGCTTTGCCTTCTCAAACACGGCAGAAAGCGAACACAATATGATGCCCCGTCACCTCATTCATTCAGCCACTTACTTAGATAGCAAGGGGTCGTGTTAACTCATATTTCTGCGTTTTTCATGCAGGACAAATAAAATGAAACGCATAAGAAATATCTTGCTGCGATTTGTAAACACAGATCTAAAATGCTTCTTATTGTAATTTATGTTCGGCATCAGACTAATTTTCTGCTTCAGTTGCACTTCTAAACTCAGATGAAAATTCACAAAAGGGCATTCTACACTGCTCAAAAAAATAAAGGGAACACTAAAATAACACATCCTAGATCTGAATGAATGAAATAATGTTATTAAATACTTTTTTCTTTACATAGTTGAATGTGCTGACCACAAAATCACACAAAAAGTATCAATGGAAATCAAATTTATCAACCCATGGAGGTCTGGATTTGGAGTCACCCTCAAAATTAAAGTGGAAAACCACACTACAGGCTGATCCAACTTTGATGTAATGTCCTTAAAACAAGTCAAAATGAGGCTCAGTAGTGTGTGTGGCCTCCACGTGCCTGTATGACCTCCCTACAACGCCTGGGCATGCTCCTGATGAAGTGGCGGATGGTCTCCTGAGGGATCTCCTCCCAGACCTGGACTAAAGCATCCGCCAACTCCTGGACAGTCTGTGGTGCAACGTGGCGTTGGTGGATGGAGCGAGACATGATGTCCCAGATGTGCTCAATTGGATTCAGGTCTGGGGAACGGGCGGGCCAGTCCATAGCATCAATGCCTTCCTCTTGCAGGAACTGCTGACACATTCCAGCCACATGAGGTCTAGCATTGTCTTGCATTAGGAGGAGCCCAGGGCCAACCACACCAGCATATGGTCTCACAAGGGGTCTGAGGATCTCATCTCGGTACCTAATGGCAGTCAGGCTACCTCTGGCGAGCACATGGAGGGCTGTGCGGCACCCCAAAGAAATGCCACCCCACACCATGACTGACCCACCGCCAAACCGGTCATGCTGGAGGATGTTGCAGGCAGCAGAACGTTCTCCACGGCGTCTCCAGACTCTGTCACGTCTGTCACGTGCTCAGTGTGAACCTGCTTTCATCTGTGAAGCGCACAGGGCGCCAGTGAAAATTTGCCAATCTTGGTGTTCTCTGGCAAATGCCAAACGTCCTGCACGGTGTTGGGCTGTAAGCACAACCCCCACCTGTGGACGTCGGGCCCTCATACAACCCTCATGGAGTCTGTTTCTGACCGTTTGAGCAGACACATGCACATTTGTGGCCTGCTGGAGGTCATTTTGCAGGGCTCTGGCAGTGCTCCTCCTGCTCCTCCTTGCACAAAGGCGGAGGTAGCGGTCCTGCTGCTGGGTTGTTGCCCTCCTACGGCCTCCTCCACGTCTCCTGATGTACTGGCCTGTCTCCTGGTAGCGCCTCCATGCTCTGGACACTACGCTGACAGACACAGCAAAACTTCTTGCCACAGCTCGCATTGATATGCCATCCTGGATGAGCTGCACTACCTGAGCCAATTGTGTGGGTTGTAGACTCCATCTCATGCTACCACTAGAGTGAAAGCATCGCCAGCATTCAAAAGTGACAAAAAACATCAGCCAGGAAGCATAGGAACTGAGAAGTGGTCTGTGGTCACCACCTGCAAAACCAGTCCTTTATTGGGGGTGTCTTGCTAATTGCCTATAATTTCCACCTGTTGTCTATTCCATTTGCACAACAGCATGTGAAATGTATTGTCAATCAGTGTTGCTTCCTAAGTGGACAGTTTGATTTCACAGAAGTGTGATTGACTTGGAGTTACATTGTGTTGTTTAAGTGTTCCCTTTATTTTTTTGAGCAGTGTATATATATATGGAGTGTATAAAACATTAGGAACACATTCCTAATATTGAGTTGCACCCCCTTTTGCCATCAGAACAGCCTCAATTCGTTGGGGCATGGACTACAAGGTGTCGAAAGCATTCCACAGGGATGTTGGCCCATGTTGACTCCAATGCTTCCCACAGTTGTGTCAAGTTGGCTGGATGTCCTTTGGGTGGTGGACCATTCTTGATACACATGGGAAACCTTTTAGCGTGAAAAACCCAGCAGCATTGCAGTTTTTGCCACACTCAAACCGGTGCGCCTGGCACCTACTACCATACCCCATTCAAAAGGCACTTAAATATTTTGTCTTGCCCATTCACCCTCTGAATGGCACATTTCACAATCCATGTCTCAATTACCTCAAGGCTTAAAAATCTTTCTTTAACCTGTCTCCTCCCCTTCATCTACACTGATTGAAGTGGATTTAACATGTGACATCAATAGCGTTCACCTGGATTCACCTGGTCAGTCTATGTCATGGAAAGAGCAGGTGTTCTTAATGTTTTGTACACTAAGTGTATATACAGTATATTGTATGTGTGTAATACAAATAATTGTGATTAGTTTCAAGTTCAAGGAAATCTACTAATTGTGATCTTCTGTTCAAAATCTCATAGTCTAAGAATTAGTACAATGTAGTAAGATGAATTAGTATGAGTATGAAGGCTGTAACGACTCACCGGTTTGAAAATCGAACCACCAAATTGGGATTGTCGATGATTGCTGGATTTTCAGCAAATTCATGATATGTGATTATGTGCTCCATGAATTTCTCTGCAATAAAAATATCATAGCATTTACATCACTATTATCATATCATATGTCATATTATTATTTGTGGCATTTGTGAGTAATAGTGTACTAGTTAGTTATTTGCGTACTTATCAAGGCCCTAGGCTACGTCCCAAATGGAACCTACTCCCTACAGGCCCTGGTCAAAAGCAGTGGACTATCCTAGGGGATAGGGTGCAATTTGGGACACTGCACTAGTCACTATAATATAACACTTACATACAGTAGGAGACCTCACCTTTGGAGATTTCAGAGTTCTCTCCAACCCCGCCACAGAGAGACAGGGTGACATCTGGTAGATCCCCAGCCGAGTCAGACAGACAATCGGTCCCGCTGTCGGCCGCTGCACTGCCCACGGACTGGGGAGACTGGGACTCATCGCGCCGGCCAACCTCCACCCAGTGCTTAGGGAACGCCTCGGACTCACTGCAACACACAGACACAACCACAGACTGGTCAGTCACTACAACACAACCATATGGGCCCTGGTCAAAAGTAGTGCACTATAAAGGGAATAAGGCTTCAATACATGTGATGAAAGACATGATGAGGTACCTCTTGGGACCTAAGTAGCGTGCGACGACGTCAGGCTCCATAGCGTTCAGGTCATCCAGGTAGATATCCTCAGGCCCCTGGTGCTGACTCCTCTTCGTCACACCTTCGTCACACCCAAAGAGAAACCATCAACATTCCCATAAACCATCAACATTCACATAAACAAATACTGTTGTTCACCTTTTTTCACTTCCTTTACTTTTGAGAAATCTTTGTGCATTCTGTAAAGCCCCAGTCTGCATCCTAAATGGCACCCTATTCCCTATTACAGTGCACTACTTTTGACCAGAGCCCTATGGGTCCTGGTCAAAAGTAGTCCATTATATAGAGAATAGAGTGCCATTTGAGACACATCCTGAGAGGCAAGTAAGAACTTCCAAGACCTCAGAGCAAACCACTTCCTTCCTGTTATTGTATTCTACAAAACACTGCTCTACCAAACACTGTCTGGGTTTAACGTTAGTCAACAACACTGTCTGAACTCATGAATAAGTAATTTCCTCTCTGTTGCCATCACACTATTCTGTAGTGACGAAGCTATGGGGTTCTTAAAATAGGGGACACAAAGGTCCTGTGAAGCCTTTGTTCATACCAGCTGTCATGAACAACAGAGGGCTATGACATGACATCATCCGGCACATTGTGCTAACATAAGCAAGTAAGCTAAGGCCTAAGTCATGTGTTATATTTGATTCATATAATCTATCTCTATAAACCATCTCTGCATACTTTTACAAGCACAATAAGTACCTCTCCTCTTGGAGGGGGACTCAGTCTTGGAGCTGATGGCCCCCAGGTCCCCAGCCATGTGGCTGGCCCCACAGGCAGCAGAGCCACTGTCCCTCCGGCTGGAACCAAGCACACTGGGGGGAGTGGAGGTCCAACGAGCCCTACGCTCAGGCCTGGGCAGAATGGGGGTAGGGGTGGGACAGGGCTCCGCCGTCAGAGCACCTGGCTCTGGTTTGAGGGGACACGGTTCAGGTTGGGGGGGACAATGGTCATGAATGGCTTTGGGGGGACGATGGGTTTCAGATAGAGGGTCGGGGGGGTGATATTTGGAGCTATGGAGGGCACTTTGTTTGGGGGTCCGGGGCTCTGGTTTGACGATGGTAGGTCCACACACAGGCTCCAGAGAGGTGTCCTCCACCTCCATGGCCTCAGAGCTGATGATGACCCTGAAGTGGGTGCTCTCTGATGGGGTTATAGTTACTGTCTTAGTCAGCTCCGAGCGCTCTTTCTTATTGACCTGGACAAAAAGAGTATATGAAATCAGTGGGTATAGGGATTTCATGTTATGACATTTTTGGCATGTTTCCATCTCTGACATGGAGGATGTACAGTGTATACTTCCCAAACGGCACCCTATTCCCAATATAGTGGTCTACGTTTGGCCAGAGCCCTATGCACCCTGGTCAAAAGTAGCGCAGTATATAGGGAATAGGGTGCTATTTGAGACGCAAGACCCAGGCCTTACCCTGGTGGATTCTGGGAACTCTCCCCAGGACCACTGCATGTGTGACTCTGCTCTGAGCATGCACTCTGATGACTTCACCATCAGCTCCGAGTCGCTCTTTGGAGACATGGGCTCGGACAGGGCTCTTGAGGATCTGTTGCAATCGAGAAAAAAACCCCAATACATTTACTTTGAACACAAGGACATGTATTCACAGCTCCACAGGCCTATAATTTTTTTACGTTAGTGCACTTAAATTTAAATCTACCTAGGGCCGGGACTCATACCAAGGCGTGTTACAGAGCAGCACACTGGACAGCCGACAATGCACCTTTTAAGGTAATTTATGCTTGAGCCGACGTCATGTCAGGGACATTGCCTTTAAAAGGTGCATTGACAGTTATCCAGTTGTCTACAACAAGCCTTGCATTGAATCTCAGCCCTAGTATCAGTTTAGTTAAATCCTATGAAAATAAAAAATCTCTCTAATGATCCTGTCTGTTTGTATGATCTGTGTAAATATTTGAATAAGAAGTTAATGGCTGACTGACTGAGTGAGTGAGGAGGTCATACCTGAGGTTGTCGCCGGGAGACCAGTCTCCATCAGAGAAGGGGTAGCTGTCCAGAGAGTGGAGGGGGGGGTGCTGCCTGTGTTCCACTGTGTCCTTCACTGTAGAGAACGAAGAGGCCCTGAGGAGGTAAAGACGACCACACCTTCAACCACAGGGTTAACACTACACACTATGCAGAGCAGACCCACACAGACCCAGAATGCGTCCCAAATGGCACCCTATTCCCTACATAGAGCTCTACTTTTGACCAGGGCCAAAAGCAGTGCACTATCTAGGGAATAGGGTGCCTTTTGCCATTTACCTGCTGTTGTTGTGTGTGCCACAGTGCTCATCGTCTGAGCTCAGCTCACAGACCTCCTCCCCACAAGCAGTGGGAGTGTGTTGCTCCTCCTTCCGGGGATCTGCTTTGTGCTTCCTCCTGCGTCTCTTCTTCTTCTTCCCTGCTGTGGTGCTGGGGGGGAGGAGGGGGGCGGAGGAGGAGGATGGGTCCTCTGAGCACCCATGGGGTGGCTGCAGCCCACCCTCAATTCCCGACCCTCCAGCTCTAGACTCTCTGCCCCTCCACAGAGCCTCCTCTGTGGGGATGGGCGACGTCACAAGGTGGGCAGGGACGATCTCCTGGGACGGGGTGACAAAAAGAAAGATGAGCCACAAGTTTACGTTACAGATTGCGTCCCCAATGGCACCTCATTCCATTTTGGTCAAAATAAGTGAATTGTTTTAGGGAATATGGCGCCATTTGGGACCCACACAGTCAGTAACAAGCTGGGTCAACAGCGGTTGTCATAAGACCAATAGAAAATAAACAAAACCCACATTATGCTGCTCTGTTTCCTGAACAAAGAAGGACTCTCCGTTGTCCCCCAGCTTCATGTGCAGCTCCACTGGTTCTCCATTGATCTCAATGTCAATCTGCAGAGGTAAAGGGAAGGTCAGCCACCCATTTATGGAGGAACTCTGTATCAAGCATCTCAGACTACAAGTGCTGATTTAGGTTACATGGACAGGGGATACTCCTACTCTAAGATGCTTGGGACATACAGCCCCTAGTCTACTAACTGGAAGATGCAACTGAATTACTAGACGAAACTGACGTTTAACTGAGGCCTGGTAACCACATGGAGAAGGTATGACTGTGAATTTGTCAAACATTCTCAAAACAACACTTTAAAATAACGTCCAGTAATAAACCAAGGCATTAATAAACAGCTTGCCAACAATGTTATAGTGTGCTTGCTTCAGTCAGCAAGACCACTCTAGATATTGGACATAGGCCTCCTTCTTCTTATTGTGCTCAAAATAACACTGTTTTATTTAGGCTAACACTATGCTATGGTTCCTGAATGCAAACTGGGCCAACGGATTACCTGCCTGCAGTACGTCAAACCGTTTAGCTTAATGGGATACTTCGGGATTTTGGCAATGAGGACCTTTATCTACTTCCCCAGAGTCAGAGGAACTCGTGGATACCATTCGTATGTGTCTGTGTCCTGTACGAAGGAAGTTACAAGTAGTTTTGGGAGCCAATTCTAGCAGATACCCATAGACTTCCAGTCATTGTGAAACTACCTCTAACTTCCTTCACACTGGATACGGAGACGTAAAAATGGTATCCACGAGTTCATCTGACTCTGGGGAAAATCCCGAAGTATCCCTTTAAGCTAAACAGTATGACGTACAGAATACAGTAACACGGGAGTTCTTCTCTTTGTCATCTTTCCTTTAAATCCCTAAAGGAAAGATATATCTTTACTTTCAACCAATGCATCCTCCCCTCCCTCTCTATCTCTCTCCCTTAATCGTTATTTTCTCCATAGGTCTTTAGGAAACTCCGTTAAGTGAGTGAAAGCAGCCCCCCAAAGACAACCATATCACCCACTCAAAGGAAAGCAATTAGATGTGGATCTATCATTATTTTTGATGGAAAAACATTCCAGTTTGTTTATATCCTCTGCACTGAATAGCCCTCCACCCCTGTCACTGAGAGCAGGTAGGTCATACCTGTCATCAACAACATAATGGGGGTGTGTTATTGGCTGAGGTGGGATCACCTGACCCTCCTCAGCCTATAGGAAGGTCAGGCTAAACTAAGGCGGTGTCAGTGTTCCACCTTAGAGCAGGTCTAACAATAGACAGAAGGGCCCTGGTCAAAAGTACTGTACTATATAGGGAAAAGGTGCCATTCGGGACACAGCCTCCTTCTTGACTGTGTTTGTGCAGAAGGGATTGGCCTTCTGCCTATTGTTAAAGATGCTCTAAAGAGGGATACTGACACCACCTTAGTTTAGCCTGACCTTCCTATAGGCTGAGGAGGCTCTTGCTAAACATCTATTTGGGAAGCAGACAGAGTGATAATGGTCTGTTTCTGTAAAGAAAATAAAGAGATACTTGACTCAAGAGATATGCGATGAGGAGGAAATGTTTTCTGCTCATCAATAATGCAACCAGAGCAGTAGCTATATGAGTTTCCAAAAGGATCTTATAAAAGATAGCATCATCACCAAATCCACTGCCTGATGCTGGGTCAATCCTCCCACACTGTTCCATTACATTCCTCTCTGTACTGTATCAAGGCCATCTCTCCTCTTCGCTATGCAGAGGCAAATCTAAAATTGGGTTGCCATAGTGACCGAGGCGAACGGTAGCAGTAGCAGTACAGTGGTGCTCCTGCCAGCATCCCAAATGGCATCTTATTCCTTATTTAGTGTACTACTTTTGACCAGAGCCCTATAGGCCCTGGTCAAAAGTAGTGCACTAAATAGGGAATAGGGTGCCATTTGGGACACAAGCGCAGTGTCTCAGGGATGATGGGCTAGGCTGGTCGTCCTCCCCCTATTCACTCTCAGGAGGAATGGTTAATACCTGGATCTGTGTCAGGCAGAAGCACCTCCACACAGCAACAGGAAAAGGCCCTAATTGCATGTCAGTAATGGATGTGACAGAGGGTAACAAAGACATGGAACCCTGTCATGCTAAACTGCCATGACAGACCTGGACAAAGGCTGTCGACATCCATCTGCCAAATATCATGGGGAATACAGCAAACAGGTATGCGTCCCAAATGGCACCCTATTCCTAATATATTGTATCACTTTTAACCAGAGTCTTATGGGCCCTGGTCAAAAGTAGTGCACTGTATGGGGAATAGGGTGCCATTTGGGACACATGGGGAGAGGTCCTCCTTGGCCACGTGCGTTTTGCTCACAGTTTGAGGAACCTCTGCTTGACTATACCTTCACCCATCTCACTCCCTCTTTCTCAGTTATCCACAAACTCACCACTTTCTCCTTGGAGCGCAGCACGCCAAGTTTCCCAAAGCGTACATGGAAGGGGGAGCATTGGAAGGTCCCGTCAGGCTGTCTGACCACCACCACGTCGATGCAGCCGGACAGCGTGGCCTGGTTGATACCCTTATACAGCTCCTTCACTGTCACCAGCACCTGGCCTGCCAGCTGGCCCACGTAGTTCATGGTGTCTACCTGTGGATAACACACACACACAAAATAATAATTATATAATGGTATAGGATAGGTCAACCAACCATCTACATACACATAAAGTAATACTTACAGATTCACGTTTAAAGGGATATTACACTTACAAATCAACATATTATGTTTTCAGTCCTCCAAAGTACTCTAATGTCAAGATGAAACCACGTCCCAAGACATTGGTTGTGTAGATCCAGTTATTTACCTTCACCCCAAATGAATGGAAAAGATAAGCACTGAACAACTTTCCTGCTATTGGGACACTGACTCAACTAACCCTGTTGTTCCGAGGCCTGTATCATAGAAAATGCAGAGCTCCCTAAACACAGAGGGTCTGTCCCATTTCCCAAAAAGAGTCCCTGACAGCAGCAGACTAATCATGCCTTCTATGACTACGCTGCAGTGCTGCATTAAGAATCAGATTCCCTATATAGTGCACTACTTCTGACCAGGGCCCAAAGCAGGGCTCTACAGTGCTACCATTTTAAGGGGCATATGCTCCTAAATATTTTGCTGTGCTACCTGGAATTTTTATTTGGGAGCGCCAGTGCCCCTAGAAGAAGAAAAAAGTAACAGATGTGAAAATGGTTGTAGTGATTTCTTGGATGTCCCGCAGCCTCAGTAGTATACAACCATGTGGTGGCACAGAAAGAAAAGCAAAGGGAAAACTTCTTCAGGAGATGAGCTTCAAAAGTCGCTAGGATTCATATATTGGCTGAGCCAATGTAAGCTATATCTCATTCTCAATCTTAAAAAAAAAAAATTCTGGTGCTCCTAAACTCTGTATTTTTTTATTGCTGGATATTCTTATCATTAAAAAGTGGCAATCTGCAGTTACTAAATTCATTTTTTTGACTTATAAATTAGTGATATAAACCCATTAAACCCATAAATGCCCCATGAGCTTAGTTCAACTGTGGTATCCAATCAGAAGCCAAATATAAGCTTGTTTTTTCAATGTTTGTGAACAAAGTAAATGTAAACAAACAAATGGCCCAAAGTAGTGCGGGGACTGGTCAAATGAAGCGCACTAAATAGGGAATAAGCTGCCATTTGGGACAGACACCATCTCCAATGGAGAGGAGACAGATTTTCCTACAGGGCTTGGCTGTCTGTGGCGCTGACCTCTCACCTGTGTGGTGTACGGTGTCACTCAAACCATGCTTTTGTGTGTGTGTGTGTGTGTGTGTGTGTGTGTGTGTGTGTGTGGTGTGTGGGCAGTAGAACAGAGATAGGACTCCATAGGAACAGCATGCAAAATGTTCACATTTGCATGTGTGTGCGAGAATACAAGACCACAAACATTTAAATCCTCACATAACTTCAGAGAGGCAAACCAAGCTGACTGTGAATGTGGGCATTAGAAGGTAAAACAGGTCTATTTCCTCTCAAAGCTTGCTACCCTACTTAGAATGCATTAGGTGTTATCTAGTTCACACTGACTGAGGAGAGGTAGGTTGGTAGTGAATGCCTTTCTCGCACATATTCATAGACTTAAGCAAGGCTCACAGTCAAGGAAGGACGCAGTTTTACTTACAATCTGGGGCCATAGATATCAAGCGTCTCCGAGTAAGAGTGCTGATATGGGATCAGTTTTGATTTTAGATCACATTAAATAAGATGGACAGGACAGGGGGAGCTGATCCTAGATCAGCACACCTACTCTGAGAAGCTTGATGCATACAGCCCCATATGTAATTGAAGTGTAGCTATTAACTGCCAGTAGTGAAGGTCAAATGATTTATTATTGTCTGATGTCCAAACCTCTCTGAGCTGAAAGGGGTAAAATGGCTGCCTACTGTATTGCTGAGCAAAGGGATGGGCCATTATTGGGAGATAAAAGGATAATTAGCATATTGTTTTGACATTTGTGCATGCTTTTCTCCTCTGAGAAAACAACAGCTGATTGAAGGGGGTGTTGCGGATTTCGGCAGAGGAGACTCAGAGGATGAGGACGGTCTTTTTCCTAAATGAGAATCTCCCATTGATTCACCAGGGTCATCATCAGGTGAAAGCTATCAGGTCAAAAGTTTAAAGGATCTAAGGTCAGCCAATCACAAGACACGGTAATCTCTGTTGCCAAGTAGATCCAGGATACAAAGCTTGCGTACCATAAACCCCTCAATCTATGAGTTGCAGGAAATACAGTGATGATTCACACATTGTAATGACGCCTTTCATTTACCACAAACACAGATGAGAAAGACAAAGCACAAGACAACAGAGCCATGCTTCAACCACTGACAGTTCAGAGGAAAGGAAACAGGCTTCACTAGAACTTGAATCTCTGTCTGAACCCAAACGTTTCAAACTATCAGAGCAGTTGAACCAAGTTGAATGGAGAATGAAACGTCTGAATACATATAATATGGAGAAATAAAAATAAGATTCAGTTCTGAAAGAACATTTCAGATTCAGCCGGGGATTTGTAAAGACCATGTTAGCTAGGACTGATTTATTGGTACAAATTTCCCCAATTCTGCCTAGCGGAAAATGGGACCAAACACAAATCTGGCTGCGGTTCAAGCAACACAAAAACATGTTTATCAGAGAGATGGAAATGTTACTAATGTTAGTATATGGGGGACGGTGAGTATTAGGACATAGACAAACACACTACCATGATACACTTCCACACTCCATCCCCAGATGGCAGCAGCAACCGGGTCTAGGTGCAGAGCCTTTATACAGGTGTGCCAATTAAGGCCATCGACAGTCAGTGTCCCAGCTGTCCCAGTCGTGAGCCTGCTGGCTTTTGTTGAGGCCTTTTGTTTGTTTTTGAGTCTTTAGTTTCGGAATGCCTTTTGTATTTTTTCCTTAACATCGAAGAGGATAAATGATTAAATACTGCACTGAAACAAAATCTTCATGCAGTGCATGTTTGGCTTAGCCTAACCAAACACAGCAACAAAGCCATAGCCCTAACGTTATTCAAACTTCAACAACCGGCAATCAAAAAAAAGCCTCCTGCCTGCAAAAAAAACCCAATGTACTCTTAAATCTCTACACTGTACATTCCGCTGTAGGTTTCTTCCTTCCAGGGTTTTTCCTGTCCACTGTGCTTTTGCTTTGGGGTGTAGCTTGGGTTACTGTAAAGCTTTTTGTGACAACTGCTGATGTAAAAAGAGTTTAATAAAATATATCAAAACATAACATTAAATTGACTGATTGCCTGCTCGTGCTGTGACCATTGAGTTGTGGCTGTGACTCAGTGTATCTGCTCATTAGACAGGTCCAGTGGCGATTTTAGCATGTAAATCTTGGTGGGGCAAACGCAAACATGTTTTGGGGGATGCATGCCAGCAAAGCCACTACACAACACTAATCAATACATTCATTGCACTTTAACGGTGACAAACTGTGCCCACAAACTGTTAGGGCCTACATAAAGATGTCCCAACAGCAGAGGTTTCTTTTCAGCACCATGGAGTGAATAGAGAATATTACCAACCCCTACACTCTGTATTTTCCACTGGCTGCCCCACCGAACAGTTTAAACTGGAATAGCAGCAAGGCCAGGCGGACTGGGGACAGCAAGGAGTCACCACGGCCGGTAGTCCCGACGTATGGTCCTAGGGCTCAGGTCTCTCAGTTGGCTTTTCATAGCTGATCATTTAGAGTTGAAAACAGCAGGTCTGGGACAGGTAGGGGTTTCGTAGCCGCAGGCAGAACAGTTGAAACTGGAATAGCAGCAAGGCCAGGCGGACTGGGGATAGCAAGGTGTCATCATGCCCGGTAGTCCTGACGTATGGTCCTAGGGCTCAGGTTCTCAGAGAGAAAGAGAGAACGAGAGAATTAGAGAGAGCATACTTAAATTCACACAGGACACTGGATAAGACAGGAGAAGTACTCCAGGTATAACCAACTAACCCCAGCCCCCCGACACATAAACTACTGCAGCATAAATACTGGAGGCTGAGACAGGAGCGGTCCGGAGACACTGTGGCCCCATCCGAAGAAACCCCCGGACAGGGCCAAACAGGAAGGATATAACCCCACCCACTCCGCCAAAGCACAGCCCCCGCACCACTAGAGGGATATCCCCAACCACCAACTTACAATCCTGAGACAAGGCCGAGTATAGCCCACAGAGGTCTCCACCACAGCACAAACCAAGGGGGGGGCGCCAACCCAGACAGGAAGATCACGTCAGTAACTCAACCCACTCAAGTGACGCACCCCTCCCAGGGACGGCATGAAAGAGCACCAGCAAGCCAGTGACTCAGCCCCTGCAACAGGGTTAGAGGCAGAGAACCCCAGTGGAGAGGGGAACCGGCCTGGCAGAGACAGCAAGGGCTGCTCGTTGCTCCAGCCTTTCCGTTCACCTTCACACTCCTGGGCCAGACTACACTCAATCATATGACCTACTGAAGAGATAAGTCTTCAGTAAAGACTTAAAGGTTGAGACCGAGTCTGCGTCTCTCACATGGGTAGGCAGACTGTTCCATAAAAATGGAGATCTATAGGAGAAAGCCCTGCCTCCCGCTGTTTGCTTAGAAATTCTAGGGACAATTAGGAGGCCTGCGTCTTGTGACCGTAGCGTACGTATTGGTATGTACGGCAGGACCAACTCGGAAAGATAGGTAGGAGCAAGCCCATGTAACGCTTTATAGGTTAACAGTAAAACCTTGAAATCAGCCCTTGCCTTAACAGGAAGCCAGTGTAGGGAAGCTAGCACTGGAGTAATATGATCAAATTTCTTGGTTCTAGTCAGGATTCTAGCAGCCGTATTTAGCACTAACTGAAGTTTATTTAGTGCTTTATCCGGGTAGCCGGAAAATAGAGCATTGCAGTAGTCTAACCTAGAAGTAACAAATGCATGGATTAATTTTTCTGCATCATTTTTGGACAGAAAATTTCTGATTTTTGCAATGTTACGTAGATGGAAAAAAGCTGTCCTTGAAACAGTCTTGATATGTTCGTCAAAAGAGAGATCAGGGTCAAGAGTAACGCCTAGGTCCTTCACAGTTTTATTTGAGATGACTTTACAACCATCAAGATGAA